AAGTAAACAATTAATAAATTTTAAATTGTGCACCACCGTTCTTAGTGGCATGATGAAATCTCACACCATCCTGGTCAGTCCCACCTAGGACATGAATCGTCCCTTTGTTCAGCATCTCCACGCTGTAAATGCCACCCTCCTTTTACTCAGTAGCCGTATATATAAGGTTTGGTATTATCCGTGGTTTCAGGCATCCACTAGGAGGTCTTGGAGTGTATCCCCCACAGACAAGGCAGACAATATATATTCTTATACATAGATAGATACATATATATTTAATTACTAAATACAAAGTTGGCTCTTTCTATATGTCTTAGTCGGTTTGGGCGACTCTAACAAAATACCACAGACTGGGTAGCTTAAACAACACACATTCATTTCTCACATTTCTAGAGACAGGGAGGTCCAAGATCAAGGTACTAACAGATTCCATTCCTAGTGAGGGCCCACTTCATGATTTGTAGACAGCCGCCTTCTTGGGGTGTCCTCACATGGTGGAGAGCAGAGAGGAAACAAGCTCTTCTATGTCTCTCCTTATAAGGTCATGAATTCCATTCATGAGAGTTCCACCTGATGACCTCATTACCTCCTGAAGGCCCCACCTCCTAATGCCATCACACCGGGGGTCGAGATTTCAACATAAAAGTTTGGGGGGACATAGACACTCAGTCCATAGCACTATATTTGGATGCTATAAACAATAATAAAATCATATTCACAAGCATGTATCTCTATCAAACACCAAGCTGTTTTTCTTCGATGTTTGCTTCCCACTTGTTTATTCATTTTGTGGCTACTATTAGGCAAGTAGTCAGGGGCACCACAAATTTGGGGGAAAAAAAAGGTGAGGGAACTTAAAATTGAAAATTCTGCTCATTAACTTAATTTTTCCGTCTGTGGTTTTGGATAGTACCCACATCCTTTGAATTTTGAAGCAGAAGACCTCCCAGGATTTTGTAGGAGCAAAAGATATCCCTAAGGACAAAGGGGTGGTGGCATTTCTGGATCTCATCAGGAAGGATCATGGTGCTTATTTTAGCTACTTCTCCTTCATGTGTCCCCACGTCAGTTGCTATTTTGATTGTGAGCATCTTCCTGCAGCTGGCGGTGTGCTGATTGCCACAAGCCCTGGGGGGAGGGGGATGAGCTGCCCCGTGCCCACTGGTACACCTGTCAGTCCTTCAGCATCTATTTGTTGAGCACCGGACTCATGACTGAAATACTAAAAAACACGATACAAGATAAAAGTCCTGCTTGTAAAACCTCCCGCTCTCATTTTAGAGAAAAAAATACATATGAAATACAGATAACTCTTGACCAAAAGAAATGGAGTACAAAACAAGTTATCACAGTCATATTCTACTTTGAAATGCATTTGATATACCCTTACTTAGTGAAAACTGCCAACATTGTCTTAGTAAAATATCCAATATTTAGGAAAATATTCACTGTTCTATGGATATTATCCTAATGTGTAAACATATTTTAATAATAATACTTTAGGATCACAAAATCTGTTACTTGACAAATAAAATGGTCCAGTGTTAGTACTCTTAAAATGGTCTATTACTTGTTCTTTATTCAAACTTTCCGTACCACCTTCCCCCCGCCCCATATTAAAATGAAGCTTAGGCTGTTTAGTGTGTCACTGAGAGCTGTGCTTTTCTCTTTCTGAAGGTGTTGCATGGGGCCCAGTGACCTTTGAAGAGAGTTCCTCCCCTTCGGTGTCCCTGCTGCCCTATCTCCTATGGCACCTTCCCACTGAGTCCTTGCTCATTTACCTCTAACCTTGGCTCTTACACATGACAGTCTAGTCATTTACTAATAGTTTTGCCATCGATTTGTGTGGTCCTAGAATTAGTGCTAGCAGAGTGACACCATAGTGAGTACATGTCTGAGGGGGTGAAGGAATGGGGCTGTCTCCACACTGTATAACCCGTGGCAACATCTGTAGGCTCTTTGTAGTTCCAGTCAATGGACACCTGGTAATAGGTATATGGTTTTGTTGATTCGATTGTTTTATGAATGTTCAAATAATAATGATATCTATCTATCTACTTGCCTGCCTGCTTCTCTGTCTATCAATCCATTGCTATGGCTAATCCAACTCCGAATAGTTGAGAATTAACTATAGTGGTCATTTATAATCAGATGTTTGGCATAGATTTAGGAAAGAGGAAAGTCTCTGAGGAAGAAGTTGGGCAATTAGGGAAGGCCTCATGGAAACCAGAGGCATCTGAGCTGAATCCTAAAAGATATCTTGAGATTTATTTGAGGGTGGAGAGGAAGTGCCTGTGACTCTGGGGAACTATTCTGGAGAACTTTCTTTCCTTGTTCTCAGCATCAAAGGAAAGAACGAGGGGAGGAAGTAGCCAGAGTAAAAGCTGGGTCTCATGGAGGCCTCATCCCTACAGTCGGTAGGGACCTTTGGATGCCTGGGGGAGAGGGGACAAGACCCTGCCAAATGCTCTGGACCTAGAGGTACCTGACACTGTAGTAGTTCAATGGTATGTGAATAAAACTAGAAACATCTCTGCGGGCACCTCCATCGGCACCTCTTGTCAAACCTAAGTCTTTTGAAACGTTAAGATAAAAGTATCTTATGCCTTTCTCTGGCACATCTTCCCTGCAGACAGAGTTGGTCTAAAATTAGTCACAAAGTCGCGTCAGAGCTTTTGCATAGGGATTCATCATCACCTGAAAGTCAAGCAAATGTTTATCTTTCACCTGGAAGAAGTACTTTAGAATGGTGAGGAAGAGGCCCAGAGAGATGAGTCAAGATGTTATGGGTCTGACCTTGAGGAAAACGACTTTTCCTGCCACACGAGCCGTATCGATTCTTTCCCCAGTGCCCCATTTTCCTCTGCAGTTTTTTCTGCTTTTGCACAGGTTTGATTAGTGTGCTAAACTTCAACCTGTCGCTTAAGTTGGACCTCTTTCTAGTTGGGGCCTTGCTCTTTCCTTTTCCCCAAGGTATCTTGAGTGCGTGAAAGCTCATTTATTTATTTTTTTCTGTCAGTGGCTGTACTCCGAAGTTTTATTACCCAGCGACTGAGGTTTTCCCTTTGTCTTTGGACAAACTAAATTCCTAAGACTGAAGTGCTCCAGGTACAGGCCTTTCAAACGCTTTGGTCCCTGGACTCGTCATCTCCACTATAGATTTTCGTCTTTTCGGCCTCTCAGTTCTAGAGCCCTAAGGGGTCCCTCGACATTCTCAAGTTCGAGAACCTCTGCTCTAGAAGGTGCTTGAGGGACGTGGGCCAGGGACAGACAGACGTGTGGGTCCAGGCAGAGGGTAGGGCTCTCTGAGAAGAGGCAATGATGTGTGTTTCTCTCCTGCCCTTGCCTCTGGGCTTCTTTCAGTTCTCTTGGCCTTTTCTCCTTTTGAATAATTTCGTTTTTTCCTTCTTTTGTGGCCAGTACAGAAAGAGGGTCCCCTTTTCCAAAATGGGCTAATTCTTCTCCGGTTTAGTATCCTGAGGAGAAATCCTAGAGGAAATAGAGGCTTAAATTGGTCTAGCCCAGTTCACGAGGTTCCAAAGCGTTTTAGTAATAAACAGATTTACTAGGCTGAAGGGACAATAATTTTATTTTTGGCACAAAAGCAGCCTACTTAAACCCAATAGTTTATCTGTGTTTACCAAAGCCACCTATGTGGTTTCAAGTAATGAGTTCATGGAGGTCTGTATTTCACCAAACAGTGGTGACTGTTTTTGTGCTGCGTGGGAACTTCACATGGGTTGACTCCCAATCGCCCCTCAACACTAATGGGCTGATTTCCTTATAAGCTGCCTCGGCCTGTGCTGCTGCAGATGAACCTCATTCTTTCTGTACAAGGTAACACAGTCTCTGACACCATGCCTCCCATATGCTTCTAAAAACAGAACTGATCCCAGTTCTGGTCCTTTACAGTGCTGGTGAGTTGCTGGCCGCTGTCCAGTTCAGGGCGCTCCGTGCTTGAGCGACCTCTTTCCTAAGATGACCTTTTTAAAAGGTGATACAAGGAAGTTCTGAATAGACATTGCAAGGAGACAGGAGGAAGTGCTTTAGTAGCCTAAAACAAAAGAATTCCCCAAGCCGCCCCTTACCACTAACTAAAAACCACTAACTAATAAACCTGGGGGCTTTTCTCTGTAGTCCAGGATCTTTGCTTGTGTTCATTCAGTGCCCCTCTCTCAGGCTGAGTCATCAGAATCCACGCAGGCAGCCAGCCATTTTCAGTGTCAGGAATGAGACTCTTACCACGTGAGTCATCTTGTATACAAATTACACGCACTTAGGAAAGTTACACGAGGAAATGCACGTTTGCCGTGGTCTGGCTCTTGCATTTGCACTATGAATAAGGTTTTTCCTCATACCCCAGCCGTTGAGGAAAAGAAATGTTGAAAATTTTCTCTGCCTGGAATTAATGGCACGGCCGGTTCTAGCCCAATCACTCACTCTGAGTGCCCTAGATGGGTTACTCTGGTCTCCTAGCTTTCTTATCCAGTTTTTCTCTCTAAGGAATTGGGCTTTTGTCAGCTCTTTATGGCTCTGCATGATGAGTTCCATCCCACCCGCTGTTTTCTCAAATCTCCTATTGTTACAGGGCTTCTCTTCCCAAAGCCCCTTATCTGGATCTGATGTTAATTTGTGTTTTAGAAAGTACTCACATTTGCTCAAGATAACTCTTGCTTTCAGGCCAAATATATAGAATTTCAGTCACCACAGAAACATTAGAGCTTTGGAGAATCATTACATAGAAATGATTTCATTCACTGAGGTAGAGACGAAGGAAAAATGTATTTTTAATTGAGTATTTTTATGAGGTTTAAAAAGATGCTCTAGCCACTGCCTATAATTTGTGATCACTGATGTAGCTGAATAATTAAAAGGGAGAAAGCTCTTTAGAAGCATAAAATTAATCGTAGCAGTGTATCCTGCTTTGATCATGCATGCGGTTGTGTTATTCGCTGTTTTCTTAGGTTTCAAAGTAGAAATTTTTCTTTCTCCCTTTTCAGAGACAGTTTGAGCAGATGCTGTTGAAGACTCAGAGAGCTGAGATATGAAGATTTTGAAGTCATTCTACATCTGAAGCCATGATTTAAGTATCAGCATTACGGTAAATATTTAGGGAAAAATTATAACAGTTTTGTGATTAACACATCATTGGTTTTTGCCTGCATTCTGAAAATAGTACATTATGAAGGGTGAATTTATTTGAATCACATTCAACAAATCGGAGCTCTGAAAAAAACTAAAGTTATCTGTGCGATTGGGGTTTTCTTTTTGAACTTAGCTGTGACTATGAGAGAACTCTCAGGGACTCTAAGGGTAACTTTCTAGATGAAAGCAGATCTACCCACAGAAAGGAGAGTGGAAGCTTCCTTCCAGGGTATGTTCTGACTGCCTCTCTGGGGCAATATTTCTCAAAGTATATTCCTTAGAACACAGTTTTCTAGACTCTTAATGCAGTGGGGTCGAGGGTGGGAAGGTGAGTCTGTGCTCAAATGAGTTTGAAAAACATTGGCTTAAAGTTAAACAATTTGTCTTACTGAAGCTCTCAAAAATGAATGAGCCTCATGAATCTCCATGGTGAGTGCAGTCAGCAGGACATAACAGAGCCATGTAGAACTCCTTGCTTGTAGGGCATCTCGAGACCAGTGTTCTATTTGTTCATTAAATATTTATTGAACACCAGCCACGCATGGTGTTAGATTCTAAAAATACAACAATAAATGAGTTTGGCAATGTTTGTGTACAGATAGTAAATAAGGTAAGAAGTAAGTAAGAGCAATTATTGATAGGCATGATAACAGATATTTAAGAGAATGGTCTGGGGAGCTAGGGGGTCTGGGTTTTAATCCTGAGCCCACCACTTATAAACTGAATGACCTTGAAATTTTCTGAAATTTCATTAGTAGAGTACAGGAACACTGTGGGTTTTTTAACATTGATTTTGTATTCTGAAACTTTACTGTATTTATTATTTCTAATAGTGCTTTAGTGGAGTCTTTAGGGTTTTCTACATAGAGAATCATGTCATCTGCAAAAAGTGACAATCTGACTTCTTTATGCCCTATTTGGATGCCTTTTCTTTCTTTCTCTTTCTGATTGCTCTTCCTAGGACTTCCAAAATGATATTTTCAAAATATTTTTATACTGAATAATAGTGGCAATAGCCTTGTCTCATTCCTGATCTTAAAGGGAAGATTTTTAGTTTTTCACCATTAAGTATGATGTTAGCTGAGGGTTTGTCATATATGGCCTCTATTATGTTGAGGTACTGGGGGTAGATGAGGGCAAAAGGGGTCAAATATTTGGCAATGGAAGGAAATCTAACTCTGGGTGGTGAACGCACAGTGCAATGTATATACGACTTCTACTTGAAACTTATTTGATTTTGTTAATCAATGTCACTCCAATAATTTTTAATTTAAAAAATGAGAAAAAGAAGAACTAATAAACAAGCTCAGAAAGGTTGCAGGATGTAAGATCGGTATACAAAAATCAATTTATTGCTATAGCAAACATCTGAACAATAAATATCTGAAATGAAATTAAGAAAATAATTTCTTTTACAATAGCATGAAAAACAATAAAATGCTCAGAAATAAATGTAAGCAAAGAAGTGTAAAACTTTTAAAATTACAAAATGTTATTAAAAGAAATCGAAGAAAATCTAAATAAGTGAAAAAACATCCCGTATTCATGGACCAAAAGACTTAATATTGTTCAAACGGCAATACTTCCTAAACTGATCTATAGATTCAATGCAATCTCTATCAAAATCTCAGATGGATTCTTTGCAGAAATTGAAAATATGATCCTAAAATTCATATAAGAATTTAGGGGACCCAAAATAGTCAAACTAGTATTGAAAAAAAATAGCAAAATTGGAAGACTCACACTTTCTGATTTCAAAATGTAAAACATAGCTACAGTAAACAAGCAGTGTGGCACTGGCATGAGGATAGACATACAGTTTTTTAGAATAGAATTCATAGACCAGAAATAAAGCCATACATTTATGGTAATTGATTTTTGACAAATGTTCTGAGACAATTCAACAAATGATTCTGGAACAACTGGCTATCCACATGCAAAAGAATGAAGTTGGACCTATACCTCACAACATATACAAAAACTAACTCAAAATGGATCAAAGTCGTAAATGTCAGAGTTAAAATTCTAAAATTCTTAGAAGACGGCAGGGTTGTTAATTTGCATGACCTTTCATTAGGCAGTGCTTTTTAGATATAACACCAAAAGCACAAATTACAAAAGGAAAATAGATAACTTAGACTTCAACAAAATTAAAAACCTTTGTGTATCGAAAGTCGTTATTGAGAGAGTGAAAAGACAACCTACAGAATAGGATAAAATATTTGCAGATTATATAATCTGATAAGATATATAAAGAACTCTTAGAACTCAATAGTAAGAAGATAATCCAATTTAAAAATAGGCAAAGATCTCAGTAAATATTTCTCCAAAGAAGATATGCAAATGGTCAATAAGCACATGAGAAGATTCTCAATATCACTAGCCATCAGGGAAATGCAAATCAAAAAGAAATGAGATACTGTTTCATTCCACTATGAAAGACAGAGTAACAAATATTGGTAAGGATATGGAGAAATTGGAAATCTCAGACACTGCTAGTGGGAATGCAAAATCTTTCCAAAGCATCTGCTTTGGAAAACGGTCTGGCAGCTCTTCATACAAGGAAACATAGAGGTACCTTATGATCTGGCATATCCACTCCTAGATATAACCAAGAGAAACGAAAACATATGTCTACACAAAAATGTAAAAGCTAATAGCGGCATTACTTTAATAGCCAAAGAATGGCAACAACTTAATGACTATCAGTTGATGAACAGACTAATAAAATGTTGTATATCCATATGATAAGATAGCATTCAGGTATTAAAAGGAATGGAGTACTGACGCATGCTACAACATTGATGAATCTTGAAAATATGCTAAGTAGCATATATTATATGATTCCATTTATATAAAATTTCCAGAACAGGCAAATCTATAGAAACAGAAAGCAGATTAATTGTTGCCTAGGACTGGAATGTTTAGGAGGAAATTGAGAGCGACTGCTAATGGCCACATGGTTTCTTTGGGGGCGATAAAAATGTCTAAAATTGCCCTATTATATACTAAAAATCATTGAAGTGCATACTTTAAATTGGTAAATTGTGTGGTATATGAATTATATATCAGTAAAGCTGTGTGACTTTATTGGGGGTGTGACTGTCGGCACTTGGTGATAGATGAGATAGAGGGAGTGAGGACAAGGGAGGGTTAAGAACAACTCCTAAATTTTGCCTGTGGCGACATCTGAGAAGGGGAGGAAGGATGGGGGAAGTTTTGGGGGTTTTTTGTGTGTTGTTTTTTAAATGGGGAGGGCCAGCTTTGAGAATCCAGAGTTGTGTTGTGGCTATATTAAGTTTGAGTACCTGTTAAATATCCAGATAGAGATATTAAGTAGACAGCCGAATGTGCATCTAGAACTCAGAGGAACGATCCTGGCTGGAGATAAAAAATTAGATACTAAGTAAATCCATAGACAAGGATGAAAACAGAGAGAGAGAGAGAAAGAGAGAGAGAGAGAGAGACAGACAGACAGACAGACAGACAGACAGACAGACAGAGAGACGGAGGGAGGGAGAGAAAGAGACTGAGGGAGGGAGAGAGAGAGAAGGCTAAGGATGAGGTGGAATAGAGAAAGAGAACCACAAAGAACAAAAGGAGCGTCAGCCAGGGAGGAAGGAAAGTAGAAGGGTTCGGGGTCACTGAACTCAGATGGCGTGAGGAGCGAGGGGTCCACAGAGCTGGTTCGACTGAGAGGTCAGTGAGAGGAGGACAGACGCGTCCTTTGGAACCACTAAGGTGAATGCTGTTCCACCTGTCATTGAAAAATAGAAACAAACACGCAAACAAGAAAACGACTGGTACCATGGGGGAAAAAAAAAAAGAAAGAAAGAAAAAGCGTGGTTCAGTAGTGGAGACTCCAGATCAGAGTGGGTTGAAGAGAGATTGTAAAGTGCTAATGTGGAGAGAGGTGGGCAGGTGTTTCTAGAAGTTTGCTGGAACCACACTCGGGTGAAAAATTGTCCTAGTGTCCTTTCCTGCTCTGCGGAAACCCTGAGCGCCACATGCCAGCGGGGTCCGAAGGCCGTCTGTTCCCTCCGAGCCAGCTCTTAGGGGTGTACATCCCCCATCTAGGGAGCAGCCAGCTTGTCGGTAGGGGCGGGGCTGGAGGGTAGTGCTGGGCTGGGACCCAGACGGAGGGTCATTTTTGCTTTGTTCTCTAATGGTTTTGATTTTCTTTTGTTATTTTGATTGGGAGAAAAGTGAGAGAAGGATTTTACGAATATGTTGTTTTAGAAGTTTAGGTAGAATTGTTTAAAATCTTCATTTGAAATAGAACAAAGAGAAAAGGTATTCTCTGCTTTTAGATTTAATTTAGTCTTTGTAAAGCAAAGAACTGGCCGGACACACCTCACTGCTTTGCATCTCTTTAGACATCAATAGAACCCAATATTGGTACCACTGAGGCTATAGCAGGTCCTGAGTGAGGTGGAGGGAAAAGTGGTAACTTTCTCAAAAGGCACGCGTGCAAATACTTGAGGCAGACGCACTTTATCAGCCTCGGAAGTTCATTTACCGTGTTCCTCGCCATTGGCATCAATGCATTCTTTCCCATGTAGATTGTGTGGCAACAACTTTCAAAGGTAACAACCCAGTCTTTTCTTTCTCTTGAGAAAATGGACTGTTACTTAGGCTATAAAGCCCATTTGATGTTTTGGGCAAAAATCATGCTTTGATCACACGTCTATTGACTGCTCGTTTTGTATGAGTCCAAGCAGCGTTTTTTTTTTTGTTTTTTTTTTAACAGGATGTGTGCATGTGCACATGTGTGTGTGCATGTACACGTGAGTCACATTGTAAAAGTTATATCTTAGTGTTTTAGCTCGAATTTCTGCTCGCTCTTATATGGCATATAAATGGCCTATCATAAAACAATATTTTTAAAATCCAGTGTTTGGCACAAAATTAGAAAACATCCTCATTTTTCAAGCTCTGGTTAGAAGCTCCTTATAA